TTGGTCATTCTGCCTCACAACCTGAAAAAGTTACTGACTGCTGTTCTTGGGTAACCAGTTTCACACACACCTGTCCTGTCCATCTCTTCCCCCACCTTCCCCAGTGCTCTTTACCAGTATCAGCCTTTAGAAACACCATTTATTTCCTCTCTTTTCACAGAGACATTTCTCTGTTGCAAGACTGTGGATGGAATCAACAGCTATGCAGTGCCATCTGCAGACAGGTTGCAGCATTGGGATCTTACCGATTTCCAAGAAAAGTCCCCCAAAGCAAATGTACCATGTCAACTTAACAGATATTAGCCCAATGGTAAGATTCGGACATCACAAGTGGATGAAAAATACAAAAATCAGACAGGAAGCTGACAAGATAGGCCCTTGATTAATGGTTGTCCATTGTTAATCATGATGACAGCCAATAATTTCTCATCTACCTGAGCTTTGATTATGAGTTCTCATATGGCTTTCAAATCCAATTTTCATGAGGAATGTTCTCCCACACACAGGAATGAATGTCAGGTTGACCTAGGTTGTCTGTGAGCGCTCTTTATCATAACTGGTACTTGACTACCATGGCGAAGAGTGCCATATAAATGCTGCTGGAGATCCCTATGTAGAGAAACAATATTATTCGGCTTTTCTTAAGGTGAAGCAGTCCATTTATTATCTAATTCCCTGAAAACATGAACATCATAACAAACAATGTTCCTCAAGGCTAGTTTAAGCAAGGAATGTTTATGACTTCAGTGGTATATACCAAATATCCAGTGGTCCAGCTTCTCCCCATGAAGTGTTTTATCCAGTCAACTAAGCCGTGTAACTCCTAGATAATTTCTAAAGAAAAGAGTATTTCTCTCCAACCCAGACTCTCAATGATCATATACAATGTTCCCTCATTCATCAAGAGGGACTGAAGGCACTTGGAACATCAGTGTAAATATTCTGTCCTGTGTGTGTTTTATTAAGTGCTGACAAGTCTTTACAAGGGATCGTACAGGCCACGTCTATGTATTATTTTTAATTGGAGTGCATACTCTTCTTCATGTACTTGGGTTAGACCAGCAGGGATCACCACCTCTGATATAACAGGTGGAGTGAGCATTGTATTTTCAAAGAATAAGGCAAATATCAGCTCTGTCATTCTAACATAAAAAGCGTAGTCATGTGAAGTGTAACAAGATTGGGGTGTCTGGTATGCTAGGAAATGGAAATGGAAAAACCTATTAACCAGAGAGGTTAGATTGTAAACTTTTTTGGTCCGAGACCATCTTCTTGTTTCACGTTTGTGTGGCGCCACCCTGTATAGCAAGGTTCTTCTCCATGATCGGTGTGTTTCAGTGTCATTACAATAAAAGTGAGAAAAAAAGGAAGCTGCTTTACAGCCCATAAGCTACAGCCACACTAGAAAAATTCAAGCACTCAGTACTACAGCAGTAACAGCAACAGAAACTCTTGTGTAGACAGAATACTGCCTCACTACTACATTATTGATTAACTTTACACTGATGCTCAAAGCCATTGTAAGGCCTATGACTATAGTAGCTCCATTTTGAAGGTTTAAAAAGCTTGTGCTGTGAGTCTCTCTTGTGATGGCTTTCTAACATAAGGGAGTATCAGCTTGGAGTGAGCTCAGAGTGAATGAGACTTTCTCTTTAAAAAGAGTGACTATTGCACTCTGGAACAAAGGGCTCCAGCAATTCAGTGACTATAAAAACAGCATTTAACATAGTTATCTGGTCCCTTCTATGCATAGGAGTTTCAGCTGAGGTTCAGTGAGACAGGAACAGCCCTGGAAGAGTGGGGGCCTCTGGATTCTGATCCATCCTACCCCCACAAAAAAACACCATAGCATGTAAGGTAAGTAAGACACTGTACAACTCTGGGTCTCCAAGGCTGCTAAGAGCCAGATGTAGCTATAAACAACATGAAGGAAAGAGAGGGAGAATGCTAAGTACATCAGAGACAGTGAGACAGGACATCGCAGGTTGAGGAGGAGACACACACACTAGTCTCCTTTCATGCTTTCAAAATTACTGTAACTTACTTGGAATAAAGCTTGTGAAATAGCCTGTCTCTGAAGTCTTTCGCCCTACTCTGTCAGTGCCTCCACATATGGATAGCTTCGCTCAAGCCTAGCGAAGTCCATCAGGCTGGCATGGTTGAGGCTCACCAGTACTTTTAGCCAAACAGCACACAAAGGAATTGTGATGCTAGCATCATATGCAGCCACCTTTGAACCCCATCCCAGACCAAATGACCAGGTATCTATCTACAGCCAGGTCAACTGGTGGTGGCCTTTGGCACAAGTCTAAAAGAAGCCCAGTTGTACCCCTACAGAGCCATATCAAGATGCCTTAGCAGCTCTGTCACTGCACCTGTCTGCATTTCCATGTTCACAAAATGCTATGGGGATGGGCATTTACCAACCCATAGCAACATTGACTGATCCCCAGCCCCACCTGAAAGACCAGGAGATAACTGGACACTGCATTCTGCAAACAGCTCCTTAACTGTTAACAAATTAGGAAATTCACTAACAAAAGTTTTCTTGAGCAGAGAATTACAGTTACCTGGTAATGCCCAACATCTTTCCAGACCATGAAATTTAACTACACCTAAACCTCTAAATCAGTAAATGAAAAACAAAGATAATGTGAATTCAAACTTTTGAACTCCAGAAGATACCCAGTTTCCTCTGAAAAGCAGGTAAGGTACATGCCACATATGTAACACAACCTTAACTCTGCCGTCTTTAAGAAGTGCCCCCGGGGCATAAGTACACATTATTATTCTGCTCTCGGATGCCATTGGAGCCTTAAAACAGGGCACATAAAACTATGGAAAAATATCTAGCATTTTTTCTTTGCTAAAGCAAATCTTAGGTTCAGGTAAAGAGTAGCAAACAGGCCTTATTCACAGAACTCAGACATGGGCAGTCATACCCAATGGGACAAACTGAGGTCTGGAACCAGAGCCATACAACCATGGGACCTGCCAAAGTCAGGAACAGTCTATCCTAGAACAAGACCACCAGTCTTTTAAAGCAAATCTATGGACCAATAAACATACAGATGAGAACCCCGGGTGAACTTAAGAAGGGGCCTTGCAGCCTCAGTCAGTCAGGGGCTAGCATCCCAGCTGTCCAACAGCCCAGGCACTGCCACCCATAAGGCTTCTGACAGCCTGTGGTGTGCACAGTAGGGGGTGCTACTACGCACAGACACCCATCTCACTGTGCCAAAACCAAAACCATGTTTCAGGAGTCTCCCTTGGGTAACCTACAACCGGCTGTCCGGCTTCACCTGCAAGCCTGGGGTAACACTGCCACCACCCAGGCAGTGGTCTCTGGTAGGGGTCTGTGCAGTCCACAGCATGCAGACACTGCAGACCTTGGGGGTGCTTTGCCCACAGTAATATTTCTGGGTGTTTCTCTCAGTCTGAAGCACCCAAAGATAGCATCAGGTAACTGAGGGAAAATAAAAAGACAAACTTTGCTGGCCACGCTGGGAGTGAAAGGCTTCTTCTCTCTCTGCCCACAGTAGCTCAACAAGGCATGCTGTAACCCAATACCTGTATTGATGGGGGGAGGGTTAGAAGTAGGAAGTCAGAATACTCTTTGAGCTAACATAAGTATGTGAGTCTTATACAGTCTTGGACTCAGTGATCCTTTTAAGATGTGATTGGCCTATACATAATTCCTAACTCCTGGCTAGTTTCCAGGTTTTTTACTTACAGAGAATCTCCAGGCAGGAGCCTAGGGTATTTGCTTGCTGTGTTCAAAATGCCTGCTGCAGAAAGAGAATGCTCCCCACCTCTGCCTAGGAATTTATCTGGCCAGGTCACCTGATTGACCAGCCTGTATCAAGAAGAAAACCAGGAGCTAGAGGGGTCACCTGGTTTGGCCCAAGGGAGGGGCAGAGAAAGGGGGATTTCTTCACACAGCCTACACTCACATTCTAAGTCTGCTTGACCAGGGTCAGACTTGCTGTGTTACACCCCTTCGGACTGCTGAAACTCCCCCTGCAAGACGAGAAGAAAAGGGCTTGAAAAGCAGACTATACAAGGAGGAGCAGAGAGAAATAAGCACGCTTAGCTTGCAGAATAGGTAAACAAAGGGGACATGATATCTGAGGGGCTTCCATAAAAAAGAGGGAGAACGCGTTTTCTCCTTCCCTGAAGAGAGTAGGATGCATAGCAATGGCTTGAAATTGTAGCAAAGTAGGTTTAGATGGGCTACCCAGAGAAACTTCCTCACTGTTAGAACAGGGAGGTGGTGGAACAGACTGCCTAGGGAAGCTGTGTACTCTCCTTCACTGGAGGTTTTCAAGAAGAGTCTGCATTTCCTTGTTCCATAAGCATTGGTCATGGATGATTTAGGAGTAGCAATTACTAGAGTGTGTTGTGAAGAACAACAGCTGGAAACCCAGGAGACTCCCACATGGAAGCCACTGGGTGAACACAAGAGGACCTTTGCAGCCCGGAGCAAGAGAATGAAGCAGAGCTCCATAGCTGACTTAGTTACAAAACAAGAGTAAAGAGCTGGACAAAGTTTGTGGAGGGGTAGGAATGACAGAAAAGGAAGTTGTGGCTTTCTAGTTTGGGGGGAGGGGGGTGTTGTGTGGAGTTGTGCTTGCAGGTTGCAGAGCAGAGTGGAGGGTGTTTGGTTTTCCCCATGCCTCTGGGCTTTGATGGTTGCCACATAGGACTGGGAGAGAATTTTTTTCATTCTTGTTGCTACTAGTGTTGGGTGGGGATTGCCTTCCTCAGACACATCTGTTATTAGCTGCAGACAAGGCTGGGGATTTTGACTGTGGTATGCCAGTGCTCTCCCAGGGACTTAAAACAACAGAGGTTCCTGGCTAGAGGGTCAGCCTACCTGGGTCAAACTAATTGTCATGTTTGGAATCAGAAAGGAGTTTTTACACACAATGAATGAATAGAACCAATCTGCTGCTTGTTGCAAAACCAACTTTATTTATAACACAACCAGTGGAAACTTTCTAAATATTTTTTCAGCTGAACATATTTCACTGAACTGAAGTGTGTTCTTCATCTGGAGTTTAAAACCAGTGTGGTGGTTCAGGTGTAATAAAAATGTGAATACCGACAGATCCGTATGAATTACTTCAAAACAAGTTTATAAAGGCAATGACAAATGTGGAACACAAAGGGCTGCCCAGGCATCAATGGTCTCCCAGATAATATCATGGCTGGCACGTTGGAGAGCTCTCAAAGCTGCAATCACAAACAGAGAGGTATGGGTAACATATTAAAGAGCACATGATACTGTAGAACCAAGATCATTTGTATCCAGGTAGTTTGCTACCGTCATTAATTCACAGTGGGTTGTCAAGTGAAGGACAAGCCATGGAGCTGCTTGCTACATTTTTTACTTCCAGGAGTGCCACTTCTCCATCAAGTTGGACCACGTCAGTGGTTCCCGCAGCTGCTCAGTCAAATGGAGCCCTCTGAAATAAAAGCTGTGACAATCAACTAGAGGATCTCTGTAGTTGTGCCCTGAACAGTCTGTAAATATCCCCTAGCTGATATGCAACCCCTCATCTTCTCAAGGGTTATGGCACTTCACCCTAAACTGTCAAGACTCTACTTCTACTGTATCAGGATGCAAGTTCTCAATATGGAAAATAACAGGCAAATCACTTATGAAGACCCCAGGGGAGCATCCCTCTTTGAGACAGCACTGGGTCATGTTGCCAGCTCTGGCTATTTTTCTGCAAGTCTTACTTTAGTTGCTGTTTATTTTCTTAAAGTCCCAGATCCAGGAATCACGTGATTACCCAGGTCTGTTTTCAAATAGTAAATTTTCAGCCTACATCTTTGCGAAGGAAAGTTCAAAATGGGAATTGTGAAATCAGAAGGCAAATAAAAACATCCCAACATTTATGATGTTTTTGCTAAATTGCATTATTTCCTTGGGCCTCATGCATCAGCCATCTGGTACCTCACAACCATGTGGTGCCTATCTTCGAGAAAGGGAGGAAAGTGGATCCGGCAAACTATAGGCCCATCAGCCTGCTTCCTATCCTGGGGAAGGTCTTAGAAAAGTTTATTAAAGAGGCCATCATCCTGAGGGATAGCCAGCATGGGTTTGTTGTGGGTAGGTCTTGCTTGACCAATCTCATTACCTTCTATGACCAGGTGACCTATCACCTGGACAAGGGAGAAGAGATTGATGTCATATATCTTGACTTCAAAAAATCCTTCGATCTGGTATCCCATGATCACCTTTTGGCAAAACTGGCTAACTGTGGCCTCGGGCCCACCATGAACCGCTGGCTGGAGAACTGGCTCCCTGGTTGGACCCAGAGGGTGGTGGTTGATGGAAGTCAATCATTATGGTGCTCTGTGACCAGTGGGGTCCCCCAAGGCTCTGTCCTGGGACCCATATTGTTCAACATCTTCATTAATGATGTGGACATTGGAGTCAGAAGCAGACTGGCCAAGTTCACAATGACACCAAACTTTGGGGCAAAGCATCCACACCAGAAGATAGGCGGGTGATCCAGGCTGACCTAGACAGGCATAGAAAATGGGCGGATGAGAACCTGATGGTGTTTAATGCTGAAAAATGCAAGGTTCTCTACCTTGAGAGGAAAAACCTGCAGCATCCTTATAGGCTCAGCAGTGCTATGCAGGCTAGCACTACAGAAGAAAGAGACTTGGGGGTCATCATTGACTACAAGATGAACATGAGCCTGCAATGTGATGCTGCGACTAGTAAAGCGGCCAAAATGTTGGCTTGCATCCATAGATGCTTCTCAAGCAAATCCTGGGATGTCATTCTCCCCTTGTACTCGGCCTTGGTGAGGCCGCAGCTAGAGTACTGCGTCCAGTTTTGGGCTCCACAATTCAAAAAGGCTGTGGAGAAGCTTGAGAGAGTCCAGAGAAGAGCCACGCGCATGATCAGAGGTCAGGAAAACAGACCTTATGACGACAGGCCAAGAGCTATGGGGCTCTTTAGCCTAGAAAATCGCAGGCTCATGGGTGATCTGATAGCCACCTACTAGTTTACTGGGGTGACCACCAGGACCTGGGGGAACGTTTGCTCATGAGAGCGCCCCAAGGGATGACGAGGTCGAACAGTTATAAACTCCTGCAAAACTGTTTCAGGCTGAACATAAGGAAGAATTTCTTTACTGTCCGAGCCCCCAAGGTCTGGAACAGCCTGCCATTGGAGATGGTTCAAGCACCTACATTGAATTCCTTCAAGAGCAAATTGGATGTTTAGCTTGCTGGGATCCTATGACCCCAGCTGACTTCCTGCCCTTTGGGTGGGGGGCTGGACTCGATGATCTTTCAAGGTCCCTTCCAGCCCTAATGTCTGTGAAATCTATGAAAATCAGTTTTGAATATTTGTGACTGGAAATAATCTGTAAGTACATGCTTCACTGCTTTCATGAAGAGTAGCCTAAATCATGCCAAGTTCTATTCAGTCATGGCACAGGGACAGAGTAATAAGCTACCAGTTTATAGCAGAGCACTTAAGAATCTAAGAACAACTCCAAGTTCTTGATGACGTTTTTTCTCACTCACAGGTCTTTCCCATCCCTACAGTTCTTATGTCTCTAAATGCCTCCCACACCACTTGCATCCCTGACCTACAAGCTTGAAGTGCATCAACCAGAAACTGAAGCCCTAGGAAGTATTTGCATGTCTCTTATGTGGGCTGTTTCACTGCCAATCACAATTAGTGGTGGTGGAACAGGGGGAAAGATTACAAAGTTTTCAAATTCTTTCCTCATTTGTTTAAACATTTTGAAAAATGTAGTCCAGATTTGAGTTGGCTGAAACACAAGACGTGTTGGATATTAGGTAAACTTTCTCACTCGGAGAGTGGTGAAGCACTGGAATGGGTTACCTAGAGAGGTTGTGGTCTCTCCATCCTTGGAGGTTTTTAAGACCTAGCTAGACAAAGCCTTGGCTGGGATGATCTAGTTGGGGATGGTCCTGCTTTGAGCAATGGGTTGAACTAGATGACCTCCTGAGGTACTTTCCAAACCTAATTTTCTAAGAGCCTATGATTCTATGTTTTACGACCTTAATTTATGCAAATATTTCCATAAATTTTTTCTTTTTTGAAATCTCAGCATGGTGAGCTGACCTTCATACTTACCAGAGTCTTAAAGGCAGCACTGACTCTGTAACAATATTCAAAAGGCCGTGTTCACTGCAATGGGCTTCTGAGGTGACAGCCCATGAGAAAGGTGTGAGAAGGGCTTTACAGGTGAACACAGACCAGAGATGGAGTTGTGTGATTGCCAGTTGAGCCTCTGCAAGAAAACGCTGTAGTTGTCCTTGTATTCTGAAATCCAGGGGTTCCTGAGGAATGCAAGAACAAGCTGGTGAGAAGGTGGCGTCAAAGGTAAACACCGCTGCACTCTAAATGCTTGTGGTCTAGTGACCTGTACAGGCTGAGATTTGCCCTGATTTCAGCAGCATTTAGCCCATCACTCATGCAGCTGAATTAGTGCAAAACTATTAGAATGTGATTTGCATCTTCTTGATACTGGGATAAACCACACTGGTGAAGAGTAATGGCCTTGCTTGTCTATGCTCATAAATTAGTAAATGCAGCTACTCATATGGCCATAATAAAGTCAAACTCCCAGCCTGGACAAAAAGTTGCAAGAATCTGTAATACCATCGATCGTCCTCGGCCATCCCGTGGCTTTAAGGCCATGGATCAAAAGGAAGACCTCAGTGCCAGTTCACAGGGGGGTTGTGGTGTAGGGAGGGTAGAGTACCTTTCTTATGAGACCTAAGTTAATCTACAACTCTGAGAGTTTGGGAGTTCATGCCTGTTTACTCATATTGTACCTATAAGCAATACATGCCAAAATCTCCTGCCATTCCTGATTTGAGATGGGCTTCTCAGGTCTCAGATCCAGGAATGGTGGCTGGTACCTCCAAGTGTGTGTAGATCCCTCCCAGTTATATGGTTGGTCCAATGAAAGATATCACCAACAACAATATTTTCTCTTGGATATTTCCTGGACTATCAGAGCTATAACATCACTCCAACACTACCAGTGTTAGGATACTTCGACCTCTGTGAACATCCCTCTTTCTGCTAGAGATGTTTCTCAGGTTGCCCTAGGAAGGATAGCCAATGAAGTTTGCCAGCTGTCATAAGCTCCTCCCATGAGCATTACTGGGCCTCATGAATTACTTCATTTAACTTATCCAATGGCTAAAAAACTGAAGATAACTAAACTACCCCAGTACCTACTCCACCCCCCTCACCCCCACCTATAGCCCCAAGTATGTCTTACTGGTTGTGGCAGCCATCTTGAAAGAAAATGTTGGAGACATTCCTATGTGTTGTACACTGCCCATCATAGCCTCCACTCCATTGTTTGAAATCAGTGCTATAGGTACTTCTCTTATCAATGTTGAAGTGCTCTGGCAAAAGAGAGGAGATTTCAAATAACTAAAAGGACTTCCCACACCTCCCTATCTCCAGTACCTTGTATTCTCTTTGCTGTCTCATCTTGAACTTCACTGGCTTGTCTTTCTTTCTCAATAGATCTCTACAGTGCAGACTTTTTGCCTAAAAATTCCCCACTCCTTATCTTGCTACTACCACCACAGATGGTAGCCTTCATAGTAGGAAGGTTCAGACTTGCATAAATATTTGGAGTACACTGCTATCTCGTCCTGCTTAAATATAGGGCTTAAATCACCAGTGGCCACTGGCCTTTTGCCTACACTCCCCACATCAATTGTTGCTGCCAGTAGTAGAGGAGAGCCAGGGATCATAACAGGGAAACGACTTCCACCCCCTGTCCATGGCAGGATCATCTTCTCTAATACTCTTTGAGTGTCTAATCACAAATACACGTAGGGTGGAAGACTTGGATAGGCACTATTATTAGATGACCGATGCAGATAAAAGATGCAAAGGCTGACTTCAAGAAGAAGCCTCTTTGCCCTAGGATTGCCACATTGTGATGATACCTCAAAAGGGGCAAGAGGCAACTAGCCAGAAGAGCATGAAATGAGGGCAGTCACTTATGCTGCATGGGTTCTGGATCAATCTCCCTCCCTGCATAATCTCTGTCCCCGGAAAATCAAGCTCCATACACTAGAAGGAGCTGATTTAGAGTAAATGGCCATTTTCTGGGGTGTCACATTCCAGCCCCCAGATTCAGAGAAACCTTGATCAGAATGCAATGTGCTTGTCCATAGAGTCGTGCCCTATTCCTCCTGCTGGACAGAGTAAGAATGGCTGAAGGGTTTGAGATGCTGCACCTGGCTCTAGAAGAAGATGCAGACCCAAATCCAAACTACATTGAACATGCCCCCACAAGCTTACACATGCAGCTTGTGATGCCACAGACCCATCTGCACCACCACAAACCACATACACTGCACATGCAGGCACTGCTAACTTGCAGCCTGATGAGGGTTTTTTGACACTGGGACAACCTGCACCAGAAAAAAGCAGGGCAGGACTAACTAGAACTAACTAATGGGTAACTAACTGGCTGGAGGGCTGCACCCAGAGAGTGGTAGTGGATGGGTCATTTCTGACTTGGAGGGATGTGGGCAGTGGGGCCCCCCAGGGCTCGGTCCTTGGGCCCGCACTGTTCAACATCTTCATCAGCGACTTGGACGAGGGTGTAAAAAGTACCCTGTTCAAATTCACAGACAACACTAAGATGTGGAGAGATGTGGGCATGCTACAAGGGAGGAATAGGCTGGAATTGGACCTAGACAGGTTACAGGGGTGGGCGGATGAGAACAGGCTGGGTTTCAACACTGACAAATGCAAGGTGCTGCACCTGGAGAGGAAGAACCAGCAGCATACCTACAGGTTGGGAAACTCCCTCATCAGTGCAGAGGCAGAAAAGGATCTTGGAGTCATCATTGATGCCAAGATGAACATGTGCCGGCAGTGTGGGGATGCAGTTAGGAAGGCCAACCGTAACATGTCATGCATCCACAGATGCATCTCGAGCAGGTCCAAGGAGGTGATCCTCCCCCTCTATGTAACACTGGTCAAGCCACAGTTGGAGTACTATGTCCAGTTCTGGGCGCCGCACTTCAGGAGGGATGCGGACAACATGGAGAGGGTCCAGAAGAGGGCCACTTGCATGATCGGGGGCAGCAGGGCAGGCCCCAAGAGGAGAGGCTACAGGACCTGAACCTGTTCAGCCTCCACAAGAGAAGGCTGAGGGGGGATCTAGTGGCCGTTTACAAACTAGTCAGAGGGGACCAGCAGGCATTGGGGGAGTCCCTGTTCCCCCGAGCACTACCAGGAGTGACTAGAAATAATGGCACTACCAGGAGTAACTAAAAATAATGGTCACAAGCTGGCAGAGGGTAGATTCAGACTAGATATCAGGAGGTGCTACTTCACAGTCAGGGTGGCTAGGATCTGGAACCAACTTCCAAGTGAAGTGGTGCTAGCTCCTACACTAGGGGTCTTTAGGAGGAGGTTAGATGAATACCTTGCCGGGGTCGTTTGACCCCAGTACTTTTTCCTGCCATGGCAGGGGGTCGGACTTGATGATCTGCTCAGGTCCCTTCTGACCCTACAAACTATGAAACTATGAAACTATGAGGACATGTGATGACAGTGTGAGCCACCTAAAACCAGAGGCTGGCTAGCCAGAGCCATGCTCCAGCTGCTAGCCAGGCTCTGGAGACCCCCAGGATCAGGCTACTGGGCCAGCCAAGGTGCTGGCCTCAACCTCCCCTACCCCACCTTTGGCAACTTGCCGTATGCCAGGGATGTTCCCTGGGGACAACTAGCAGCGGCACAAATATGTACTGCTGCTGTTTGTCCTCAGGGAACGTACATTCCTGCTTGTGAGGATGTGCCCATTGAGGCCAATGGAAATTCTATGCCACTGGGCTTTGGATCAGGCCTATCACCCCTGCTCACTTCATGGCAAAATCCTGACAACTAAACCATTTCAATTTTTCCATCGCATTACAGTGAGGGGCCCGATCCTTTTTTTTTTTTTTTTTTGTCAGAGCCAGAACCTGCCCGTAGCTGAGTGTTGAGCTGCCAGGGGTCTGAGCAGCCACTGAGCTGCAGGGGGCTCCGGACCTTCCCTCCACAGTGGTAGTGCCCCACAGAGCTGCCTGGCTTGGCTACTAACAGGCTGGGTGCTGCCCTAGCTCGGAGGCAACAGCCAACCCGATCCAATTCTTCCCCAAGTCCACTCGGGGAGCAGTGCACAGCAGACTTCCAGCAGGTGGGCTCGGGGAAGGGTTGGATAGGCCTGGATGCTGCCTCCAAGCTGGGGCAGCACCTGGCCCACTAGCAGCCTTCCCGGACAGCCCCAGGAGGTGACACTGCCTTGGAGGGAAGGACCAGGTCCCCCTGAAGCTCAGGTGCTGCTTGGCACACTAGTAGCTCATCCTCTAGCTGCAGGGGAGTGGGGCAGGGATGCTCAACAACAGCAAGAATTGGGCCCTTCGCCATTTCTGCCTGAAAGCAGGATCCTGCAGCCAGCAGGACACCTAAGGCTGCCTGGGAATGGACTGGATTACTCCTTGTGCAGTGCAGGAAGGTGGCAGGAGGGTGGCTGGGTTTGCTGGTGGCTGGAGAAGATGGTGGGGATGGTGCACAGGGTGCTGGAAGCCCAAGCTGGACAACTAGCAGCCCACCTAGGCTTCCAGAGCCCTCTATACTGTCTCTGCTGCATTCTCCAGCTGCCAGCAAACCCAGCTGCCCTCCTGCTGCCTTCCCATAATGCCCCAGGGGCAAGACAGCCTATTCCTGAGTGGCCTGAGCCATTCTGCTGGCCACAGGAGCCTGCTAGAGGCAAAAGTGACAAGGGACATGATCCTTTTTTTCTGCAGACCCTGTCCACTTTGCCCACAGCTGGACAGTTGCATTGTTGCAATTTGCAACATTGCAAACTTAACTACATCCAGAAGTAGCTTAGTTTCAATGATGTAAAGTCATTTAAAACCCCCAAAAGTCTTGCATGTGTATATTGTAATGCCATTAAGCCACATAAAATGGCATTTTAATCACATGTTAATGGCCTTACATGTACAAGTGTCCCTACTGGCTATGTTCTCCTTGTTCTGAGTTATAGTTGTTGAAGTTATTTGTGGGACAGGGTTAACTGTGTAGTTTTGATAATAAGGATTTGTATAACATGGTTTGGATAAGATAGTTTGCTTCAGACAGTGGGTTGAAGTAGATGACCTCCAGAAGTCCCTTCCAGCCCTACTTTCCTATAATTCCAGAATTCTAGAGTCATGTGTGGTATAGCTGCTGGTAGCTACACATAGCCAGCAGCAGTCCTGCAGGAACCTACACATATGCCACTGTCCATATTATAAGTACATCTCCAAAGAGCTGGACCCCAGCCTCCTGTGATGTGAGTGCAGTTTGTTTCCACTAAATCTTCCATGCACAAATATGAATTTCAGGTGCCAATCCAAGTGCTTGCACCTCCAGCTACTTTGTACCCACTGTAGAATTGTGGGTGCCACAGTGGGGCTCTGAGATAGTTTCCTCCACCTGTCTATGAAATGCTTTAAAATGTCCTCATCCTTTTTTTATTTAACTCCCCTTCTCCCTGGTGCTTTTCCCAGCATTAACCCCAAAGCCTACAGGAAAACCAGCCTTTGTGGGGTCTCCTCACTTCCTATGGAGCCAAATCTACTAACCTTCCCTGAAAATGGAAGAGCCCAGAATCCTCCTCTTGTTCTGCTGAGCTGTTCGCTGTCTTGCTCTGCAGGTCTCCTGGATAAATTGCTGGTAAGAGTCCCAGCTGTGACCTGGTTCTTGATTGCACAATGCTGGCCCTTGAGGCTCTGCAAGGAGAGTACATTATGATCCAAGGCTCCATACTCTAATTTTAGCTCCCACTCTGGTAAAGATGGAGGGCCAGATTCTTAGCAGGTATAGATTAGTACAGCTACAATGACTTCCATACAGCTGAGCTAGACTTTGCCAGTTGTAGAACAAATTATTCTGTGAGCAGCATGAAGGGAAGAGGAATGTGAAGCAAGTGGATACACTCATCTGTGTGAAAAGAGGCTGCTTAACATTTGGGGAGGAGACAAAGTGTGGGGACTGTGGGGAGGAAAGATGGCCCCATGGTTAGGATGTTAGCTGGGTTCTTCTGCATCCCAGCCTAATTCACAATTCTGTCATTTACTTCCAAAATCAGTGCCTCCCTCCTCCCTCCCCCCACACTGTTTGTAACTGTGCCTCTAATATAGCTTTTGGTATAAAAACACATTGAAGGATCTAAGAACACCACTCTATAAACCTCTCTGTGAAACCAGCTACAGGGGGTGTCAGGTCCTAGGTGAGCAAGGAGTGAACTTCCTTTCAGCTAAGGCAGTGCCCCAGCTCTGATCTCATTTGCAAGAATTTCAGGCAGAACTAAGGCATGAAGCCACTCAGACTCCATCACTTATGATCATTCTCAGAAACCTAAGTTCATGTCAGGCCAAAATGTAGGCACCAAATGAACATCGGTACTCTAAGGGTTGAGCTGTTTTGGAGTGGGGTTATTCTAGGTTGCCCTTGGTGAGCAGTTTTCCCCAAGGTTCTGTTTAGATGCTCATTGATGAACTTGGATCAGGTCCTTAGCTTCTCTGAACTTTGTTTCTATCTTTAAAATAGGACTAATTGCATGACCCTATTTAACAAAGAAGCGATGAAGATAAACTTGCTAGAGACTGTCCAATGCATAGATACCTTAGTAACAGAGCTATCTGAATACCCTAGATGAAGAGCTCTAGCTATTCAGGCACCAGATATGCATTTCCAAACAAACCCCAGAGGTACGGTATTACCTTCTTTCCCTGAAGGCTGCACAGTGGTTGGTGGAGCCACCTTTTCTAGTGGGCTGGGAGTTTGTGTTCTCCGTAATTTGTCCTTGTGGTTTGTGGGAGGATAATACCTAGGGAGGTAGCTTTCTGCATTAGGAAGCGATGAATTAAAATACTTCCTCTGATCTTGGACTGTTTGGAATGATTCAGAACCAGATGAGTTGCCCACGTGACTCTTCTTCAATTTGTCTCCAGAGCCATTGGCTGCTTTAAGACAAGGTCCTTCAGTGGTTCCTCTTCTCTGGCCAACAGTATTGTCTGCAGGCTGGTACTCAAGAGGTGCTGCAGACTCTGTGATGTCCTGCTGAGCTTCTGCCGATTTCACTTTCTGCAGAAACAAGATGATGGCTAGAAAATGGTACTTAGAGGTTTGCTTTTGGGAACTGGCTTATAGGTAAAGATATGCATTAGAATAATGGTCCAGGGCAACAGCAAGGGTTAACTGATTTCTAAAAAGGCGGTCTGTAACAAAGTTTCTTCAAGGCTCGCTATGTCTGACAGGTTAGCAGTGAGCAGACACATGGGCAGGGAAATTAAAGACATGTACCACACTCTTCCATAACATAAGACAAAGCGGCACCAAGTCATAGTGCCCAACTTCAGGGCCCTTGGGATTACTGGTTTTGGGGGAACAGACCAAGTTAGGAGAAGACCAGTAAAGCCCAAATTAGGATATGTGCTTGTGATGGGTTTGTTAAACAAAGGAATATGCTGACAGGACAGAATGTGGACAGTATGACAACCACAGAGAGCTCAATCAGCGTTGCCCAAAGATGAAGAGTCATCACAGAGAGAAAAAGATACAAAAGGAGGGATTTCAGAGCAGCAAAGGGTTCCCAAGAGGGGAAATCAAGGCCACCATGGACAGAGGGCACACCACCAGCCCATCTCACCCACCCAGTGGGTGGGCCTCAGCCTCCAACCTCCAGGCTGCTGACATCTGACATTCAAGAGAGAACCTTAGAGTGAAACTCGCATGCTGGCCACACGTACCTTCCCTCTGATGACAGCTCTAGGCCTGCTAGATAGAGAATTGTTTGCATTATTTTTATCTGCTATCACCGTGAATCAACAAAATTCGCCTATTATCAACATGGTCAGTGGAACTCATTTCAGCCAGACTCTAAGTAAACAGCAAGCACCTGACACTTGCTGGGTAAAACACAATGATAACTGAGAGCATCATCCTCCATCCCATTACCCCGCTGCCCCCCCCAGGTATGTCTCTGCTGGTGGGGAGTTTGTGGATCTCTATATCAGGCACCTAAATCCCTTCAGCATTTAAGCAGATATAGCCCACAGTAACTTGCCCTGGGGTGACACAGGATGTCAGTAGCAGGTACAGGAAGTGACCCTCAGTCTCTGAAGCCCCAGACAAGCTCACTACCCACTAGATTACCCTTCCACTTCTCAGCCTTTGAAATAACTAAAGGGGTGAGTGGAAACAGCTACCCTGTAACCTGATAACGCTGAAGTATTGTCATGTTCCCTTCATTCTAATCCCCTGGAGCAGTGGTTTCCAACCTGGAGTTCATGGACCCCTGAGGGTCTGCAGACTGTTTAAGGGATCTGCAAAAGATGTTTATGATCAATCGAAAAATGTGAATACCCACACGTACAATTCAAAGGGGTCCACACCTCCACTCAAATTTTTTTAGGGGTCCACAAAAGAAAAAAGGTTGAATGCTGCCCTAGACAAACCAACTCATAAATCTGGGCATTCACACACTGCTTGCTTCTTTCCAGGATTGCTTATGGAATATGCAGAGCAGTGTGGGGAGAGGACACAGCAACCCAGGTTCCCTCACAGTCTGTGCTGGGGGATACGTGAACCTTGGCAGGAGGAAGGTTAAAATCTTGCTGTCAAAACCAGGATCTTGGAGGGGAAACAGCTACCTGAGGCTCGGGCTTCCTGAGAACCAGTAGCCGACTTGGGAGAACAGCAGGGGTGGAGTGCAGGGAATGTTAATAAACTGAACTGGCAGCATGTACCTGGTCCCCAGAGGGCAGGAGGAGATAAGTTGGCAGCCAAGGAAAACCAGGATGGAGAAGAGACCAGATGAGAGTGGAGTGGGAAGCCTCCTGTGAGCTTCTGCTCTGGAGATGTTTCAGAGTAAGGAAAAGCAGCAGGGCCAGGAGCTTGGGCCTTTGCCATCCCATGATGTGCTGGGTTAATGCAGCTTGTTAATGTACACCATCCCTTCGGCAGCCTCCCCTCTCTGAATCACCGTCCCGCATCAGCACACACATGCCCTCTGTCTTTTTCCCCAAGACTGGCCCTTTTCTAGTTCAGCCCCAGGACAGATTGTGCTGCTTTAGCAAGTGAATGAATCTCCCCCAGAGCGCAGGCTCCTCTCCCAGTGTAAATAGCTGCTGCACTGACCAGACTGTCACAGGCAATTAGGGAAGGCCTGTCAAAGCCAAGCAAATCAGATTAAATAGTTCAAGGGTTCACTCCTGCCACAAAAGAATTAAAAAAAGGAGGGGAACAAATACTTCCCTCCTGTCTGCAGAGCCTCTCCCAGCTCCTTCCTCCACAACAGAGTTGGCTTTCTGGATGAATTTTAATCGCCTTGCTAACTGTTCTGCTGAATGCAAGGCAGGAAGAAAGGGGTCTGAACCTGCTCCTCGATACAACAGTCTTAGGGAAGTCCACAGGGTTGCTGATGCGACTAACAGCTACTCAGATGAGCAGGAGTCACAGGATTGGGCCTTAACTGGACCAATCATTGGAATGGCCTGAGTAGGGGATGTGAAAACTATCAGTCCCTGGGAACTGACTTAGAAGCACTCAAGGGGTTTAGGAGCACATCAAGAATCAGCTGGGTTGCACTCCTGTGTTTTCCGTTGGCTGCTTTTAAATATGTCCCAGGGATGACCAGTCAGAAGGAAGCAATTCCTACATGACAGCCTCCTTGAATGGGTCAGCAGCAGCAGGGATGAGCCCCCACCCTGCTCTGGATCTAAAGGCGGAAACTCTGGTTGCTCCAGACGTGAGCCTTTACCTACAGTGCAGCCACTAGAGGGGAACAGAGTCCACAGTGTGAGCGTGGTTACACAAGGTACCTACAGACTGCTGCAGACAGGCTGATACCGAAAAACAGAAAAACCCAGCATACCTGTGAGTGCACAGTGGACTGCCTGTAGTCACCATACGGTCTGTAGTCTGTCATGTATGAGCTCTGGTACATGTCCAAAGAGACAGGGGTCTGGAAGAGTCAAAACATGCATCTACCAGCACGACATTTTACTCTCCAATCATACAGCAGAACTCCGCAATCCAGGGGGAAAACCTGCAAAATCATTTACTGCCCCTGTCCAAGAGCAGCTAGCGACTTTATCAAACCCGAGCACCACAGGAGAGGCCTGCGCTGCTCCTCTTCCGCCTGGACTGGGCATGCTGTGCATTCAGCCCACAAAGGGAGGCACCTGTGTAAGCTGCTCTGTCGAAACCCAAGCAGGTTGAAAACCAACAGGGCTGTACTTTTTCACACAGCATGCAATTAAATTGTGGAACTCGTTGCTGCCAGATGCTGTAGAGGCTGACAATTTAACCAGGTTCAGAAAAAGAAGTAGATGAATTTATGCAGTATAAATCCATCAGAGGATACAGAGTAGTATAGGTACAGGTGCAAGCTCCAAATTACTACTTCCTAGGCCTCTGAATGCTGGAAGTTGTAAGGGAGAGGGTCAAGGGACAGACCAGTCTGGATAGGCCCTGCATATGTACTCTTTCCTGTAACATCTACCTTCTGCTCCTGTGAGGTACAAGATACTGGGATAGATGGACCTGCAGTCTGACCCACAGGGGCATCTCTTAGGTGTTTGTGTTCTTTAGCAGAAGAGCCATGCAGAATGCACCACAAAGCTCTTCCCTCTTAGTTCTGGGGGCTCTGGTTTAGACTGCTTCATCGCTACAGTTTCAGGCATGTTGTAACTGTAGTTGCAATCCAGCCTGGTGGAAAGGGCCAGTATTAGGCCCAGTTAACACCAAGGTCCCACTTAAACCTTCCAAATACAGTGCATGGGATCCTTAGGGTTTGTACTATGTTCAGGGTTCGAATTACACTTCAACTCTTGGGGGAGTCTGCAAAAAAAATTGGCCGGGGTCAGGGCTGTGTGCACTGGTTCCCCTCCCCACCAGTACCGCAGGGCTGGGACCAGCAGCCGGAAGGAGCCGCCACTGCCACTGCCTGGGCTGTGTAGAAAGGCACAGAGCAGCCTGGGGCTGTGCACCGGGCACATGGGCTCCAGGCTGTTGCAGGGGGAAGGGGTGCTCATCTCTTATAGCTGGGCTCAGCC